GGTGTGACAGTGTCTGATAGTATAAGTCTCGCCTGGTGGGAGGAAGGCACCTTCTGACCAGGTATGGGACTTGGGATGGAAGGGGTGCGGCTAAGAGTCTGTACTGGGTTTGAGAGCTGAGTCTAGGCCTCTCAGTTCCACAGTCGCTCCATTGATATGGGTCCTGGAAATAAATGGCTATTTGGATGAGCTTTTGTTCAACACACAGTTCCTTATATGATTATAAATGAAAAGTAACCACTTAGCCCTGGCCAGTTTTGCTCAGTGGATAGAGCATTGGCCCTGCAGACTCAACGGTCCCAGGTTCGATTCCTCTCAAGGGCATGTACCTTGGTTGCCGGGGCCATCCCCAGTAGGGGATGTGCAGGAGGCAGCTGATTGATGTTTCTGGCTCTGTATCCCTCTTCCTTCCTCTCTGTAAAAAAAAAACAATAAAATATATTTTTTAAAAAAATTAACCACTTAATTCTACTATTGTCTATCCACATTTCTAAATTTTTTTCCGCATCAGCCTAATTACAGAAATTTGATTTATTCCTTCTAGGTAACAACACATTCATTTTATTTTGTGAAGACTCACCTAGAGAGCTCATATCAGGAATTCTTCTCCCCATCGACTGTGAATAGTTCATACATTAGAACACCTGAACTCCACCAGTCAACTGCCTAAAAAACAAACAATTTGATAGAACATTAACTAGTGTGCAATCTATAAGAAAAATGAACAAAGTAAAGCTGTATATTTGGAAAATACTTTATTTTATTTTTAAAAAATATATTTTTATTGACTTCAGAGGGGAAAGGAGAGGAAGAGATAGAAACATTGATGATGAGAGAGAATCACAGATTAACTGCATCTTCCATGTCCCCCTACCCCACTGGGAATTGAATGTGCAAACTAGGCATGTGCCCTGAAAGGGAATTGAACCATGACCTCCTGGTTCATAGGTCAGTGCTCAACCACTGAGCCACGCCAGCTGGGTCACCTAAACTTTTAAGGGTCCCCACCTGACCTGCAACCAGAGCAGCAATGAGCAGCAGCAGCTCATCCCAGGCTGAGCCCATGAACCTGCACTCAAGGCCACCTTTTCTCTGATTGTCCAGTGAGCTAACCGCAGCCCCACTTTGGCTCCCTTATTTCCCACAATGTTCCTAGAGCCATAGGAGCCCTGCTCTGCTGTTGCTTGTTCTATCCTGATACCTACCTGTTTTCACTATCCCCAGCTTCAATAAACGTATTCTCAAAATCTTCTGAACTCATGCTGTGAAATCTTTTCTGCATGAAGTAAAAAATCAAACACTACAGGGCAACCTGAGGCCTACCGCCTCCAGGTTGTTTCCTGTTCTCACGGTTATGCCTGGGACATCTATAAAGACAGAACAAGGCATGGTTTTGCTTACATGGTTTGGGAGAAAACCATGGCCCACACTCACTTTGGTGTTGTTGAGTCAATTCAATCTTGTTTTTCTTTTTCTTTTTTAAAACATCCATGAGCCTTAACTGGGTTGGCTCAGAAGATAGAGCATTGGCCTGCAGACTGAAGGGTCCCGGGTTCAATTCCTGTGGAGGGTACATGCTCTGGTTGTGGGCTCTATTCCCAGTAGGGGGTGTGAGGGAGGGATCCGATTTAATTATTTTCTCTCATCAAGGATGTTTCTATCTCCTTCACCCTTCCTCTCTGAAATCAATAAAAAATATACTTTAAAAAAAATCCATGTGAGAGAGACACATTAACTGGTTGACTCCCACAGTCACGCTAACCAGGGCCTGGGATCTAGCCTGCAACACACATATGTGCCCTTGACCAGAATCAAACTCAGGACCTTTCGGTCCACAGGCTGGTGCTCTATCCACTGAGCCAAACTAGCTACGGTGAGTCAATTCAATCTTAACACTATTCCTTTTAAAATGAAATGTTTTTAATGGTTTCTTAGAGAGGGAGAGGGAGAAACATCAAAGATGAGAATCATTGATCAGCTGCCTCCTACATGCCCCCCCTACTTGGATCAAGCCCCCAAACTGGGCATGTGCCCTATAAGGAATGAAACCAGTGATCTCTTGCTTCATGGGTCCAAACCCATTCATTGAGCCACACCTGCTGGGTGCACTATTGTTTTTAATTTTTGAATCAATTACAGATGCCCCCCCTGTTCCCTCTGCCCATTCCCCCTTTGCCTTCCTCTATCCTGCCCCCGTTGCTTGTAGGACCTCACCACATTATTGTCTGTGCCCATGGGCTATGCATATATGTATATACCTTTTTAAAAATATATTTTTATTGATTTCAGACAGTAAGGGAGAGGGAGAGAGATAGAAACATCAGTGATGACAGAGAATCACGGATTGGCTCCCCCTGCATGCCTCCTACTGGGTATCAAGCCTGCAATCCAGGCATGTGCCCCCAGCCAGAATTGAAAGCAGGACCCTTCAGTCCACAGGCTGATGCTCTATCCACTGATCCAAACCAGCCAGGACTTAAATGTGTGTGTGTGTGTGTGTGTGTGTGTGTGTGTGTAAATTAGAGGCCTGGTGCATGAATTCGTGCATGGTTGGGATCCTTCGGCCTGGCCGACAATCAGGGCCAAAGAGGGCCATCTCACCTAGTCCAGGGGGAGGGACCATGGGAGGTTGGCTGGCCACAGGAGGTTGGGTGTGGGAACGTACTAAGCCCCAGGGGCAGCTCCTATGTTTAGCTTTTGTCTCCTGTGGTGTGTGTCATAGTGACCGGTTGACCAGTCATTTGGTCCACTGGTAATTATAGTCATTTAGGCATATATATGTGTGTGTGTGTGTGTGTGTGTGTGTGTGTGTGTGTGTGTGTATGTATATGTATATTTTAGACAGAGGAATGAAGAGATAGAGATAGAAACATTAATAATGAGAGAGAATCACTGATTAGCTGCCTCCTGCAAGTCCCCGCCCACACTGGGAATTAAACCGCAACGCACGTATGTGCCATGACCAGAAATACAACTGTGACCTGCTCGTACATAAGTTGATGCTCAACCACTCAGCCACACCATCTGGGCTATCTTCTTTTGAAATATTTTTCAAATATGTATTTTTTATTGTTGATGGTATTACAGATGTCTCCCATTTCCCCTGTGTATATGTTTTTGGGGGGATCTTTTCCAGTTCTCCCCACCCCTCCTCTGGGAGATCTGTCAGTCTGTCCCAGTTAACCAGGCCTCTCGTCCCATCTTCTCCTTCCCCAGAACCACTGGCAGGACTACAACACCTTGTTGCTCATGTTCCCAGGCTGGAAAGCTAGCCCTCTCCTGGGCCATTTAGAAAACTACACTACCCAGAAAGCAATGCGTCTACGCAGGGCATTTTGGTGCCAGCGCATCCGGTTGGGGCGGGACTTCCGGAGTCCTCTTCCTGGCTGACATTTTGACTTCTTCAAGCTGTCCAGTGGCTCAAGGGCTTCAGCGAGCTTATCGCGTGAAGGAGGAGACGTGGGAGGCCCCATCCGGCTGTGCAGGGTGTGTCTGAGCCTGTTGAGCCGCAGCCTTCGGGATTGGGGCGTCCGTGCCTCCCCGACTCCTCTCCGCTGACAGAGTTCACTCTGCGTCACCCCATTGAACCTCCAGCCTCTGTTCCCGCCGCCGCTCGGGTCCCGCAGCCCAGGGCGCAGCGTCCAGCACAGTGAGTCCTCGTCGGGGACCCGGGGTGAGAGGGAGGAGGAGGGCGACGGGCTGCGGTGCCGCCGGGTGAGGCCGTGGGGGCACTGAGCCGGGAGGTGGGGACACCCAGACCTGGTTTGTGTCTAAAGGCGACAAAGAGGACGAGAGGCGGTTCCCGGGAAGAGTTTTACTTTCATGCTCAGGGCGACGGGGCTGCGGGTGGTTGTGAACAGCAGAGGGATGAGGCTGAGATGCGGGTCTAAACGTTCCCCAAACGCCCAGAGGAGGAGCCGCCTCCAGGAGAGAGGGCGGCAGTGAGGGCGGGAGGAGGGGCTGTGAACACAGCGACCCAGCAGGAGGCGCCCTGAGGACCAGCCCTGAGGGAGGGGCATCTCCGCGTCGCTGGACCTCGGGCCTGAGCCCCTGGGTCCTGGGGTGGGTGCCAGGCCCTCAGCAGCCCTTTAGCTCCCACAGGTTCCTGCAGGTGCAGAGCCGCTGAGCGGGCTGGTCTGTGGGGCTATGTCAGGGCCTCACACTATCGTGGCTTCTGAGACTGTGGGGTCCTGGGACTGTCCAGCCCCTCTTCTCGGGGGACCTTGGACCTGGGGACCTTGAAGGGACACCAAGCCCAGAACCCTAAGTCAAGGGTCAGATGAGGGGCACCTGATTTTTGCAGCGAGTGGAATTGTGTGTGACAGGTGTTTCCATGCATCGGTTCCAGAATGTGCAAAGGCTTGGAGTGAAGACTAAGCTGATTCAGGGACGAGCAGGTGTCCATTTTTAAAAAATAGGAACTGGAAACAGTGGGACAGGAATCAAGTCCAGAGGAGCTTTGTGACCACTTGGGTTTCTGTTCTGCTGGTGATGGGGTCATTGGGGTAATTGGTCAGTAGAGCAGGTGACCTGTCCCAGGTCTCATTAGACTCCCTGTGGCTGCAGCATGATGCACAGTATGGGTGTGAGGACGGTGGTAGAAATGCTAGGACGGAAGCTGCTGTGATAGTGTTGGTGAGTGTGATGGTAACTGGAGCATAATGGTGGTTGTGGGTGTGGAAGAAGCAGTTGCATTATGGATCAGGGTTTTAGGTGTGGCCACCTGGATTTTCTAATTTTGAGAATTGGAGAGAGGGGTAAGAATCACAGAGGATGTAAAGATTTGATTTTAGCACCTGATGGTAAGAAAGCACCATCAGCTGACAGAGTTCCATAGGGGGAAAAGTAGTGTTCATGAGGAATATAAAATCTTTTATTTTTCCTATTAGGGTATGAAATATTTCAGAGATCAGTTCATGACCATGTGGAACTCTGAGGAGTAGTTCAAGATGACGACTACTTAAAAAAATAGTAAAGCCTATGGAGCAGGGAGGAGTTGTAGATCAACTTTTCTTTTATTAATTGGAGGTAGAAGAGTAATTCAAAACAGGTGAGATTGTGGCTGGTGCGTATTTCTTTCTTTTTTTTTTTTTAAACTGGTAATTATTTTTTTAATATAGTGTATTGATTTTTTACAGAGAGGAAGGGAGAGAGATAGAGAGAAACATCGATGAGAAACATTGATCAGCTGCCTCCTGCACATCCCCTACTGGGGATATGCCTGCAACCAATGTACATGCCCTTGACCAGAATCGAACCTGGGACCCTTCAGTCCATAGGCTGACGCCCGATCCACTGAGCCAAACCGGTTAGGGCCATATTTCTTTCTTTTCTTTTCTTTCTTTCTTTCTTTTTTTTTTTTTTTTTTTTTTTTTTTTGAGCAACAGAGAAATTACAGTGAGGAACTGGGCCAAGTGGGATTTGGGCACCGGACTATACAATGCACTCATTGATCCACAATAAAAACCATAACCAGGTGGGTGCTCCGCAAACCAGTTGACTTGACGCGGTGGGGGCAGCCGCTTTCACAGGCATTCATGCAACCACTAACCATAGGTGACAACCCTGCTACCCCTGGAAAGGCTACCCCACCCTTGAAACGGTAAAGGTATGCAGGGAGGCCTACTTGCTACTTCTATGGAAACAGGGGCACGGAGAACACTCTATGGACCAAACTAGGTGCGGGAGGGGGGCACCTAGTGGGACACAGGAAAGGAGGCTGTGCATGCCATATGTGTCCACTGCTTCCAACAAAGCATGCCAGCCACCTTGAGATCATCCATGGGTGACTCCACGTAGGCTTCCTCTCCCCTCGGTTCTTCACTTCCAAGAAACATGCGAGGGGTGTGACACAACAAACCAACAATTAAAAGGATGAGGCCCACCTTCACACAGGGTTACGGGTATATGCTTCGGAAATCAAACGCACATTCGACCTAATGCAGCTGAGGCACAGCTTCAATGAGGTGCATGAAGTAGGACTGAAAACTGGCTGATGATGACACAACATGGAGTAGCTCAGGGGAGATGGGGTGCATGAGAAAGTGCGCTGCTTACCATTCAAGTGTTCACAAACAGCAACACACAATAGGATCCAACCAACCCAACCCCTCCATTTGGACTCAGGACCCACACTTGGAAAGAAATGCTATCAGCACAAAAATCCATGGGCCCCAAACAATACTCTCCCGATCTGTGTCTTCTATGTCTCTCTCTTCTATCATTGAAATAAAACAATGATATTGAGAGCGCACCCAACCAATACAGTGCGTGTCTGTGTGTGTGTGTGTCTGCATGTGTGTGTATGCTCATAGGCACACTAACATGGGGAAGGACACTATTCACTCACAAACAACACTGTGCTCACAGCTCCTATAGGAAACATGTCAGCTCCCCACAAGCACACACTACACAGATACATAGGGGTGAGCACGCATATTCACAGCTTCCCTTCTCTAGAAAGCTGCACCATGAGGGAACCCTGGGGCATGACAAGCACAAGACACGTCGTTCCATGCTAGCCAGGTGACTGCAGGAGCACAGGCCCCTCCAAAATAATGCACAGGTCCCTCCATCACAACAGCAACCTCGGTCGTCCGGACATGGCCACCAGGAAAGGCACACAGACCTTTCACTCTTTCAGATGCTCGCTCAGTAAAATCCTGCCCCACATACTGTGCTGGGTGGGCTGCATATCTGGCGCTTCGGCCAGACGGGTCATGCTGTGCTGGATGTTCCTCTTCACAGCACAAACACATCCGCCCAAGGACGCGCTGGGGCACCACACAGGGAACCTCCAAACAACAACGACCTCCCATGGATAGACAAACGGGAACTTCCACCTTCCATCCATGACTTGCCTACCACTTCCACTGGTCCGCCACGGCTCCCTCCAAGAGCTGCCCACACGAGTCCTCAGTGGACAGCGGGTGGGTAGCTTCCCCACGAAGAACGCACCACGACACACTGCTGAGGCATTAAACATTGATCCCATCAGCCGCACAACGGGTGGCTCAGCCGGAATACCTACCCATATTTATTTCTTAAACACTCACCAGGATTTCTTGTGACCCTTTGTGTGGTGTGGTGTGTTGCAACCAGTTTGGTTGATTTGCTTATGGGCATGAGTTGGCATCTGTGGGCATGGGGTAGAGGACCATAGGCAGTGGTACTTGAGTACTGAAGGGTGTGAGTGGAGAAGAGACGTCAATGCAGCAGCAGTAGTGGTGGGCTCTGGATAACTGAGATCTGATGTAGTTTTCAATAGGCGAGGTTGAAGAAAAAAACAGGTTGGGAGAGAGGCCTTCATAGCAGAACTGAAGGCTGTGTTTGGACAATCAGAGTCAGGTTAGTACGTGATACTGTTTGAACTTGGTGTGCCTTCTCTGGAAAACACACGCTGAGTAATGACTAAGACCAAGGAGATGTCTATGGGAGCTGGGGCTATGGGAGTGCAGGTGTGAGAGGTGTGGGAGAAGGAGTGATGTGGTCTTGGAGAGGGAGTGTGAGTTCATGGCCACAGATCCATGATATTGACATAGAGGGAATGAAGATTGAGTCCATTTCTGGTGATAACTGGATGCTACAACATGGGGAATTGTAGGGCAATTCCTGAAAAGACGGGTGTTGTGGCGCTAGATGCCAGTTCCAGAATTTAGGTGTCATATAGGTGCACACCTGCCTGTTGTTGTTGGGCTGATACAGTGATCAATAGGAATGGGATAGCACACATCAGTGTCACCTGGGCTGGAAAATCTCTACTGGCTTGGGGAAGGGAGAAGGGTAAGAGAGAAATACATACAGAGGAGGTGAGTTAGAATGTTGAAAAGACGGTGATTAGAAAACATCCTCTCCTCTTCATGGCACATATGTGTTATCTTTGAAGATGTGACTCTCAGAATGAGCTGCATGAGAGAAGTGGGATACAAAAAATTATGTGGAAAATGTGGTAAAAGTGTTGGCCTCAGCACCCTAGGATTGGAATCAAAAGGGTGACGAGTGATGCCATGTTTTTCGGGGTCTAGAAGGGAGAAGATGTTGGACAACAAGGATATTGCCCTACAAGACCAGTGTCAAATCACTCACATGTGTGTTTTTGATAAACATTTCTATGTACCCTATGTTGGTGACACCCATTGCATTGACCGTAAATGTGAGGCCCTGAGGTCAGGTATAATTAATCTGGGCATCTGCTCTATTGTTGTGGGAAGACACAATATCAGTAGGAATATAAGGATATAGTGACTCTGATGGGTTCAAGGCCAGCTCTTTTCTGTGATGTGGGAGTGGAGGGAGCAGATGGATATGGAGAGTGAAAGTATGATGAAATTAAAGCCTAGGAGAGAAGCTGATCATGGATTGAACTGTCTCCATTACGACAGGATATGAACTTTGAGGACATGGCCATTCCCTTCTCTCAGGAGGAGTGGGGGCTCCTTGATGAGGCTCAGAGACTTCTGTACTGCGATGTGATGCTGGAAGTGTTTGCAGTGGTATCATCTGTAGGTAAGACCTTCACATCTCTCCTAGTGTCCTGAAGTGATGTCCTCTCTTCATTTGTTTTCCAAATGTAGCTTTCTCTCTCCCACAGCCAGACCATGGGCTAGTTTTCCCAACTTTCCTGTAAATGTGCTGTGCCTTCCAGTGCTGACTTGTGGTGTGTAGCGATCCCTGAGCAAAGGACCCCATAAATAACCCTCAAAGGCATTGCATCAAATAGTGCAGGAAGTGTCCGGGAATCAGGATTGTTGCAGAAAGCTTAATGGGTCCCACCTCAAACTTCCTTTTCCTGTGAGGGGGACTATGTCCACATGCATGGCTTTCACTTCTGACCCCTTCCTCAGCTAAAGACTGTTTTTGACTATGCCAGGTTATGGTCTTTACTTACATGAACTACGGGCAGTTCTTTTTTTTTTTTTAATATATTATTGATTTTTTATAGAGAAGAAGGGAGAGGGACAGAGAATTAGAAACATCGATGAGAGAGATCAATCAGCTGCCTCCTGCACGCCCCCTACTGGGGACGTGCCCGCAACCCAAGTACATGCCCTTGACCGGAATCGAACCCGGGACCCTTCAGTCCGCAGGCCGATGCTTTATCCACTGTGCCAAACCGGTTCGGCACGGGCAGTTCTTGTAAGACATTCCTTCCATTGTTTGTGATGTTCTGTTACTTGGATACTATTACATGTTGTGTTGATCAGGGCCAATGCTGGCTGCTCACCTTTGTTGCCTTTCAGTAAAACTCAGAATATTTGTGTTTTATGTACTTGTGCAGCAGAAGGTGCAGAGAGAATCCTAGTTTTTTTTTCACAGGATGAACTTACAGGAAGATCTAAGACTCTGGTTCTCAACCTTATGGCCGTTTAAATACAGTTCCTCATGTTGTGACCCAACCATAAAATTATTTTCATTGCTTCTTCTTAAGTATACTATTGCTACTGTTATGAATCATAATGTAAATATCTGATATGCATGATGGTCTTAGATTACCCCTGGGAAAGTGTCATTCGACCGCCAAAGGGATCCAGACCCACAGATTGAGAACCGATGATCTAAGAGGTGGTTGAGCCGGGTTGAGGTGCACCTGGAAGAGCTTTGTCCTAAGGGCTTTGTTTAGAGAATAGTAGGAACCTGCTCATGTCCAACAGAGTTTAGGTTGAAATGCCACAGGCAGCAGCTCATTTCTACCTTTTCATTCCCATGCTTGACACTTTGCTGAGTTCTCTTTTGATCTGTGACGTCCTGGATTTTAGCTACCTTTACCTCTGTGGCCTTTTTGCATCCCCTGTGTACTTGTAAGGCTCTCTGCAGTATTCTGAAATCTCAACCTGCACACGTGTTATGAGATGCACACACGTGCTTACGTAGTCAACACAACCTCCTCATTACTTGAATTTTACTTGGAATAAGATGCAATCAACCTTCTACACAGCTTGCCCATGTCACCAGCAGACAAGACCAGCTGCACACTGTTAGCAGAAGAATGAGCAGATGATCCAGCTTCTAATCCATGCGGTACTTGCCATGTTTGTTTATATTTTGTTTGGGATCTTCCCCGTTTCATGATCTTCAGTAGCACAGAACTTCACAGGAGCATCTTATATATTCTTCCTACAGATATGTTACTCTCAGACAATTGCATGGAATCAACGTCTTGTAAAGGCACTTCTCCCTGTCACCACCGTCGACATTCATTTTGGCACTATTTTTCTGTTTTCAGGTTGTTGGCATAAAACAGATGATGTGGAGGCCTGTTCTGAGCAGAATGCATCCATAGAAGGAGAGTCACTGGTCCGTGCTTCTAAGACAGCACCAACAACCCAGAAGAGCCATCTTTGTGGGAGGTGTTTCTCTGTGCTAAAAGATATTCTGCACCTGACTGAGTCACAAGCAGCAGTCTTTGAGCAGAAAGCCTTCTTCAGTGATGCATGTGTGAGAGACTTGTGTTTCAGTGCAAACTCTCACCAGCAACAGAGGGAAGTCAGTGGAGAGAAGCCCTGGAAAGAAGCTGTGGACAGGGCCTCATTTGTGAACTGGTGCAGCTTCTACTTACCAGGTCTGCCTTCAGCCAGTAGGGAGGTTGGGGAAGACTTCACAGCCATCTCAGAGCTTCTCCAGAACCAGGCCACTCTCAGAACTGAGGAGCCATACAGGGGCAGTGAGATTTCACAGGAATTACTCAATAGAAACCGGCATCAGCAATGGAATAAATGTGAAAAAGCTGCCAGCCACAAACAGAATCTTGTTCAAGATCAGGGTGTCTGCTCTGGAGAAGTGAAATATGAGTGCAATATATGTGGGAAAGTTTTCAGATGTATCTTTAAGCTCAATCGACATAGGAGAGTTCACACTGGAGAAAAGTCCTATCAGTGTACTGACCATGGAATGTCCTTCCATCAGTCTTCCCTCACTGAACACCACAGAGTTCACACTGGAGAAAAACCCTACAAATGTGTTGAATGTGGACAGTCATTTAGACGCAGTTACCACCTTTTTATACATGAGAGAGTTCACACTGGAGAAAAGCCCCATCAATGTAGTGATTGTGGGAAATGCTTCAGTTATAGCTCTTACCTTATTAGACACCACAGAGTTCACACTGGAGAAAAACCTTATGAGTGTAGTTACTGTGGGAAGTCGTTCAGGCAAATCTCTACTCTCAATAACCACCAGAGAGTTCACACTGGAGAAAAACCATATGAGTGTAGTGAATGTGGGAAGTCATTCAAGGATGTCTCTAGTCTCAATAAACATCAGAGAGTTCACACTGTGTAGAAGAGCTCAGGAGATTTATCTCAGTGCTTCGGCAGATGCAATGGCGTGAGCACACTCTGCCTGCACAAGCTTCCTCGGCACACCAAGAAGTGGCATTGCCCACCTGAGCTGACCTCCTAGAGCCACTACATAGTACCCTGATCTTTCCTACTATTGGTTGCCCTATGGATGTTGTAAACTTCTGATTGGTCTGGGATGTTATATATACTGCTGCACTCACACAATAAAGTGGGATCTGCGTCACTGAACCGGTCCCCGGAGTCAGGCATGCTTTGTTAGGCTCCGTTCGGCCTCACCCCCGCGGGACCCCCTGCTTCATTCTGGCGCTGTGAACAGGGACCCCGGAGAAAAAAGAAAAAAAGTCAAGAAAGTCGGCAGGCAAACCTCAGGTCGGGTGAG